GTTGAGATAAGGATAGCTATAGAGGGAGTTGACTCACATTAACTTCCTGTGCGTGTGTTACCTTCTAGGTTAATTCTTTTTGATCTAACCTTTTCTCTAGTTCCTGGTCCCCTTCTCCTATTGGCCTCAGTTGCTTTTAAGGTATCTGCTTTAGTTTCTCTGCGTTGAGGGCAACAAAAAGCTAGCTAATTTTTTAGGTGTCTTACCTATCCTCACCCCTCCCTTGTGTGCTCTCGCTTTTATCTTGTGATCAAAGTTCAGTCCCCTTGTTGTGTTTGCCCTCCATCTAATATCCGCATATGAGGGAGAACATACAATTTTTGGTCTTTTGGGCTAGGCTAACCTCACTCAGAATGATGTTCTCCAATTCCATCCATTTACCAGCTAATGATAACATTTCGTTCTTCTTCATGGCTGCATAAAATTCCATTGTTATAGATACCACATTTTCTTGACCCATTCGTTGGTAGTGGGGCATCTTGGCTGTTTCCATAACTTGGCTATTGTGAATAGTGCCGCAATAAACATGGGTGTGCAGGTGCCTCTGGAGTACCCTGTGTCACAGTCTTTTGGGTATATCCCCAAGAGTGGTATTGCTGGATCATATGGTAGATCAATGTATAGCTATTTAAGTAGCCTCCAAATTTTTTTCCAGAGTGGTTGTACTAGTTTATATTCCCACCAACAGTGTAAGAGGGTTCCTTTTTCCCCACAACCTCGCCAACACCTATTGGTGGTAGTGTTGCTAATGACTGCTTTTCTAACAGGGGTGAGGTGGAATCTTAGTGTGGTTTTAATTTGCATTTCCTTTATTGCTAGAGATGGTGAGCATTTTTTCATGTGTTTTTTGGCCATTTGAATTTCTTCTTTTGAGAAAGTTCTGTTTAGTTCACTTGCCCATTTCTTTATTGGTTCATTAGTTTTGGGAGCATTTAGTTTTTTAAGTTCCCTATATATTCTGGTTATCAGTCCTTTGTCTGATGTGTAGCTGGCAAATATTTTCTCCCACTCTGTGGGTGTTCTCTTCAGTTTAGAGACCATTTCCTTTGATGAACAGAAGCTTTTCAGTTTTATGAGGTCCCATTTATCTATGCTATCTCTTAGTTGCTGAGCTGCTGGAGTCCCATTGAGAAAGTTCTTGCCTATACCTATTAATTCCAGAGTATTTCCTACGCTTTCCTGTATCAACTTTAGAGGTTGAGGTCTGATATTAAGATCCTTGATCCATTTTGAGTTAATATTGGTATAGGGTAATACACATGGATCTAGTTTCAGTTTTTTGAAGACTGCTAACAGTTTTCCCAGCAGTTTTTGTTGAAGAGGCTGTTTTTTCTCCATCGTATATTTTTAGCACCTTTGTCAAAGACAAGTTGGGTATAGTTGTGTGGCTTCATATCTGGGTCCTCTATTCTGTTCCACTGGTCTTCATGTCTGTTTTTGTGACAGTACCATGCTGCTTTTATTGTTATTGCTTTGTAATATAGTTTGAAGTCAGGTATCGTGATATCTCCAGCATTGTTCTTTTGACTGAGTATTACCTTGGCTATTTGTGGCCTCTTGTGTTTCCATATAAATTTAACAGTAGATTTTTCAATCTCTTTGATGAATGTCATTGGGATTTGATGGGAATTGCATTAAACATGTAGATTACTTTTGGGAGTATAGACACTTTTACTATGTTGATTCTACCAATCCATGAGCATGGGAGATCGCTCCACTTTCTATATTCTTCCTCAATCTCTTTCTTCAGAAGTGTATAGTTTTCCTTGTAGAGGTCGTTCACATCTTTTGTTAGGTTTATACCTAGGTATTTGATTTTTTTTTAGGCTATTGTAAATGGAATTGTTTTCATATATTCTTTTCCAGTTTGTTCATTATTAGTGTATAGAAATGCTAATGATTTTTCTATGTTGATTTTACATCCTGCTACCTTGCTGTAGCTATTGATGGTGTCTAGGAGCTTCTGAGTAGAGTTTTTTGGGTCTTTAAGGTATAGGATCATGTCATCTGCAAATAGGGATATTTTGACAGTTTCTTTACCTCTTTGTGTTCCTTTTATTCCTTCTTCTTGGCTAGGAATTCCAAGTACTGGGGTTTTGAACTCAGGACTTTGCACTTGCTAGACAGGCACTCTACCACTTGAGCTACACCCCAGCGCTTTTTTGCTTTAGCTACTATTCAAGTAGAGTTTTAAGATTTTGCTCAGGTTAGCTTGGACCATGATCCTCCTATCTGCAGGCCTTCCATGTAGCTGAGATCACAGGTGAGCCACCACACACAGCTTATTGATTGAGATGGAGGTCTTCAAACTTTACTTCCTTCAATCTTTACTTCTCAAGTAGTTGGAATTACATGTGTGAGCTACCACACGCACTCATTTGAAGGGATTTTTTTTTAAAGAGAAGCAGAGTGGTATAGTGGAAAAAATATTTAATTAGGCATTTCAAGTCTCAATTTTAGATCTCACTATCAAGGAATAGCCATTATAAATAAAAAGTTCTATGATGTTCTGCTTCCCTAGTTAAGAAGACTGGGAAATAATGACACATTTTTTTAAATGCATGCATGCAGTGACTAGAAAGTTGAATTATGTGGTCTTTAGGGTTCCAATCAGTTCTGGGATTCTATGACCAGATGACCTCTAAGGTTTCTTCTAGCTCAGAAAAATATAGGTAGTTGGAACACAGCTTTTCTTACTTAGAATTGTTACATAGGTTAACAGTATATTTTTGTTTCAAAATCCATTTCTAGTGATGTCTACTTTTTATTTCAGGTCATGTCTTTGGACAGAATAGAATTCTAACTACAATGTTGCTCTGGGAAAATATTTCGCCTTGTAAGGAGTAGAAAGCAAAGCCATCCATGAAACATTAAAAACACTGACGCCAAAAGAAGTAACATTTACCACCACCTAAACTCTGGTGTTATTCAGTGATTGAGAGTTATACTTTCAGGCTGGGGGTATAACTCGACCACTAAGCTGAACTTCCGGCATGCACAAGCCCCCAGGTTAAACCCATAGCACCGAAAAAAACAAAAGAAACATATATACATAGAGGATATGTTATACTTTGAAATATGTGATGTTATTTTTACCTTTTATATCCAACAAAAATAATCTAAAAGTACATTTTTATTTGCAGTGAAATTATAAGAGACGAACATTTAATACTAGAAAAACTGAGATGTGGTGTTAAAGTACATCTGAAGTTTTCAAAATGTATTTAAAAATCCAATTAGAGCACTACAATTTCCTTAAGTTACTTCCTTTATTTTAAAATGTCAGAAAAGAAGTTGTTGTGCATATGCATAATACTATGTGTCTCAGAATTCAGAGATATGTAAAGAATTTTTCCATATGACTACAAAATGAAATACTTACACACTTTAGTGTAGTACTTCACACTTATTTTTGAAATCTACTGCTGATGCAACCTCTAAAGAGCAATGACCCTACCAAAAAATTAGTAAAGGCTGTCTCTTCTTACGTAAAGTGCTTTTTAGCTTCATGTCAAAAGCAATGGGTTTTACAAACACATAAAGGTGCTCAGAAAGTCACTACTTAGACTCAAATATGTCATTTTTTCTACCTTTGCGCAAGTAAACTAGCTTTATCTGCATTAATAGAGATTGCCTTCAATGGCCCTCAACCACTTGCTTCAAATCAAGACAGCCCCATTACTGTTAGTACCAGCAGAGCAAACAGAAATAGCAGAACAAGCTGCAAAACATTTAAGGGGATCACAGTAGACCAGAACAAATAGTAACAGCTTTAGATACATTACATATCCAAGGATGAGCCTTCTCTTTCACCCTGGCACATATGGTAAACCTTTAAAAAATTTTCAAAACACTCTCTTGGCTCTCTATAGAGTATTTTACAGCCCATGAAGGGATTTGAATTCTCTTACTACTGAGCTAAACTGTTACTTCTACATCGAGGAGCCTTCATATTCTCAATATAACATCTACCAAGAAAGCAAGAAGAATTAATAAATGAAATCCTCAATTCTAAAACCCTAAGAAATAAAATTGCAAACAATTCTGAAACAAAGCATTGTCTTAAAGGGTGATACAAATGTTCTAAAATAGAATTTGTTTTCTGAGCTAGAAATGTGACTTCATTTCAGTAGTATCTACATCATTAAAAAAAATAAGCATCATCGTAATTTAACTGCTTCTTATGTGAGACTTTCATTTGAGTCATGCTTCTAACATGAACCAACCATCTTACAGTGAGCAACCCCTCAGTCCCTCTGTATTGTCTGAACCTTAGGCTCTTTTGTTCCTCCTTTCTCTCCCCTCCCAAAAGTTCTCTGAATCCCAAGAAAAAAATTCCATTAAAAAAAAAATCACAATTACAATACAGTGAGAGAATGCTACATTTGATTTAAAGTAGTAATAAATTATAAATTGCCAAATAACTTAATATAACAGTGCAAATCCCTGATATAAAAAAGAATCCATCTTGCCATGAATATAATAAAGCAGCCCAGTGATTTCAAATTACTTATGAAATAAAGGCAAAAACAAGATGTAAAATACTGTTTATAAAAGTCAAGTAAGAAATCAGTTACCATAAATCTTTTTACAAAGATAAATGTAATGTGGCTTACCACCTCTAAAAATTGTTAAGGAGGTTTATAATTAGTGGTTGCAAAAATGACTCTAGGGAAGTTAGGGAGTGAATTATACATTATTGTCATTAATGACATATTAAATATATTTGTAACAATAATACTGCAATGGGGAGTCATTTAAATTAATCTTTGGACCTGCTACTGTTTGGCAAGGATATTTCTTTTTCAAAGTCTTTACTATAATTGCTGAATTTGTAAATGTTAGTCTTCAAAAACTAATGCTTTGGGTCCTTACATTAATAGGAGATACCAAAATTCTCAAATAGTACTAATATACCTACAAAGTAAAACATAGGTTGTTCTTGTATCTTTTTTATTTTAACACAAATATTTGAAAACAGACAATATTGCTATGCCTGGAACTTAAAAAATACCCAACTCATTGAAAAGAGGGTAGAAAGCAGAAGAAAATTGAAAATTCTTATTTAAAAATAAATCTGAAGTCCCTGCATTTCTTATGAACATGACTTGTCAGGTCACAGTTGATCTTCCACCACTCATCTGTGTGATACGATGGCAAGTCTCCACTTTGTAGCTTCAGTTTGAATTTTCTTGAATGTTTGCAAAACTGGTACTGGACCTGAGACGTTTGGCTAGATAAGACAAAAGTATTATATTTTAACTTGAATTTAAATCTCTAGACATGACTATTCATTGTTTCTATGTATATTGCATTATTTGTCTGTTAATTGTTTGAATATGAATAGACCTAATCTTCTAAGAATTAAAACCTAAGTTGATTTTTTTATGAAGCTCACAAAACATAACTTAATTAGAAATTATATATGACTTTGTTAGTAGTACAAAATAAAACAGGCATCATTCATACTATCACGACCATCACAATCTTAAATATGTAATGTAGGTAAAAGAAATCTACTTAGAAAATAAAAGTGCTATAAAGTATAATAATAAAATTATATATTTAAAAGTCTAAGCTAGGGCTGAGAGTGTGACACAAGTGGTGGAGCGCCTGCTTGGAAGGTCAAGGCACTGAGTTCAAACCCCAGTAAAAAAAAAAGTCTAAGCTAGAAATCGAATCTAAATTCCTTTTAAAAGCGTTCAGTAAAAATTTCTTCAATTAATAAAGGATATCTACAAAGACTACAGCAATCATGCTGCCTAATTATGAAAGTCAGTGATTTTTCCTTAAAATCTGGAACAAAACAAGGTTACGTGGTCTTATTTCACATGATGCCCCAATTTAATGAGTGCAACATGGTAAGACAAAGAAAAAGTAGACATATGGAAAGAAAGGAATTGTTTCTTTTTCAGATGAAAAAAATTTCAGGGCCTAAGAGTGTAGCTTAGTGGTAGAGTGTGCTTAGCATTTGTGAAGCCCTGTGTTCAATCCCTAGCACCAAAAATAAAATAAAAAATTTAAATCCAGTGAAAGAATGCTATAATGTAAAAATTAAATAATTTACAAAGAAAAAATGAGTTGTATATTAGATACATTTGCACAAACATACATAAATGCATACAGCTGCTAACAAAATATGTAACCATTGTCTTTGACTATGCTAATGAATTGAGCCATTAGGGTTACTACAAAGAATCATGGCTGTTTGGCTTGGTAATGTGTTCTGAGCTTAGAGTTAAATGTGAATGCTTCTCATGTTCTAGAAATGGAAAGCAGTATTGCTGTAGCGAGAATATTGAACACTGGATAACCAGAAATCTTCCAACTTCAGAAGTTCGAGACACTAGGGCAGAGATTATGATTCGCAAGATCAGCAGTAGGAGCCAGCACCTGTATTTCTTTTCTTTTTGTTTTTTAAGCTCTGCAGATAAGTCTGATAGCAAAGGACAAGAGCCACTAGTTTCTATCAGGATCTCCTTGACAACCTCTGTATATACAAAATGATCACATGACTTCATGAAGCAGTGTGTTTCTTTAGCCTAAACTAAAGGGCAAACTTAACCTAAAACAATGACCCAAACTAAAAGTCTACATTTGATTTTGGAGGCAAATTCAAGACTGTTAGTGGATTTGGGAGGCAAACAAAATCAATAATTGTTCCTTTTGTTTGTTTTTTTACTTTATTTACAATTACTAGAAGTGATCTAGCTTCTTGCTAATTATCAAATAATTTAATAAACTGACCAATTAGGATAGCAGCAACAAGTACATATACTTAAACCTTCCTTGTCTCTTTACTCTCTATCTGATACACTCCTATAACCTTTAGAATTTTACCCCAACGATCAAATAACAGTGAAATCCAACACCCTGAATGCAGAGTTAGTCTTACTTTGTGGCCCACAAATTCTCCACTTCTACGTGTGTTGTAATAATTGGGCAAGGGTAAGTGTACTCTTTGAGGACACAGATTGTGCCTTGTTCCCTTCTAATCACTAATTCCTACTATAGTGCTACCATTTAGGTAGACGTTCAGTAAACATCTCACCACTGGGCGGAGTGGCTTGTATGTACAATCGTAGCTGCTCAGGAGGCAGAGATTGAAAGCACTGAGGTCCAGGCTAGCCTGGGCATAAAAACAAGGCCCAATTCAAAAAATACTTCAAGTCAGAGGGTTGGGGTGTTTTTGTTTATTTGGGCAGTACTGAGACTTGAACTCTCAGAGCCTTTATTTTACATTCACATATATTATGTAGCTCATGCAGTGTTTCCCAGGCTTATTTGACACATAATTTTTCTTTTTTTTTCAGTGCTGGGGTTTGAGTTCAGGACCTCACACTTGCTAGGCAGGCGCTCTACCACTTGAGCCACTCCGCCAGCCTCTGACAAAAAAATTTTTTACATGGAGAATTTCACACTGCTAGAGCACCTGCCTAGTAAGTGTGAGGCCCTGAGTTCAAGTCTGATTACTGCCAAAATAAACAAAAACAAGAAGTTTACAGGATTAATATACTTTGGATTCTGAATTTTCAGAGTATATATTGTTTCTAAAATAGGCCTGAATCTCTTTCTTTCTTTTTTTGTGGTGCTGAGGATTGAATCTAAGGCTTTATGCATCCTAAGAAGTACTCTACCACTGAGCTACACTCTTACTCCCCTAAATCTTTTAAATACAGGCTGTTATCTAAATAAATGAATAACTATAAAAATAAACTTACGCAAAATGAGTTTGCGTTTCTTTTGCTCTGAATGAAGAAAGCTACTAAGGTAGAAGACAACAGGTAGAAAGAGGATGAACACAGAAACAGCAATTACAGGCACTGTGTCACTGCAAGGGACTGAACAGTTGAAAGTTCGGCTCCAAAGTTTTCGAGTGATGTTCATCTGGAACAACAGGTAATATTACTCTATTTTGTATGTAACTTGTCTTCAATTTCTTAAAAGTTGGTTAGTATCTAAACAGGCACGCAGAATCTAGACGAAATACACAACACTAAAACTCTGTTGATGGCTAAGAACAATTTCTTCTGCCAGGGAAATAAGTTAGCTAACAATTAATCACTGTATACATTTATATCCATACAGAAATGTCATATTCGAGACCCATAGAACTGCCAAAATGTACCACAATGTCAACCATTCATAGCTTTCCAGCAGAGAAAGTATACTAATAGGAATATAGTTAGACTCTGTTTCGTTCTTTAGAAATTTGTTTTTGAGAGCCTGGTACAGGTCTAGTACTACTGCAGGCAATAGGGATAGAAGTAAAAATAAACAAAAGTCTTCATGTAGAGCTGTTTTAAGTGCTTTTGACCATCCTGAATATTATTGGTTCACTAAAGTTCCCTATGAGCTGCTATCATAATTTATATTTCATTATTCTCAACCATAAATTGATGTCAATTTTGACCTCAAGGTCTCTAGTTGGAGCAAATAATTTCTCTTGCCTAAGAAAGCATGACCGCCATCTAGTGGTGCCCCATGTAAAGATAAACTATACAAAGAAGGAAAAAGCTTCGTGTTGGCCATTCAGTCCACACATATGTACTTAGAGCACACACACAATATGCCAGGCATTAACCTACATACTGAATGATAAACAAAAAAAACTATGTCCTTGTCCTCATGTGCTTATATTTTAGTGAGAGGAGACAGGCTATAAGTGTATTGTAATAGGTGTAAAGAAATAGAGTAAGAAGTGACTGAAGACTGGCTTCTGAAAAACATTGTAGTAAAACCTAGAAACTTTTTTAGTTGAAATGTAAGCACACAACAACATCTACACCTTTAAAAATAGCACACATTTTCAAATTTTTTTTAAAAAATGTAGCAAATTGTCAACTCATTTATGAAGAGTCTGATTAATTTCCATTTAAGTTTGACAGAGCAGGGTATTCTAAAGCCTTACTATTTTATAACTACTATAGTTATTTCCGGTTGAACATAGCATATGCACATTCCACTATGCCTCCAAAAGACATAATACTGAAGATACATTCGACAACCCTGCAAAATATGCATTATATCAGAAGTAAAGTACTTACTGCATCTTCCACATCAATGCATAAATGTGTTCCAGGTTCAGCCTTATTCTTAAGTTCATTCATTTTTTGCATTTCACTATACAGACCACTCAGGTTTTTATATGCTTCCTGACAGTTTTTGCATACTTCTGAGTAATTTTTTGGTGGTAGAAGACTGTGTGTGCTCCCCTAAAATGACAAAGGCAGATGTAATATACACAATAACATTATACACAATATCTTTGCAATGTAAAGTATTTGCTTACCTTCCCTCCCACACACACCCTGCAGAGGACAGGAAACAATAGTTAAAGTGTTAATGCACACAGAAATAAACCCACATAGCTACAGTCATGTGATTCTTGAGAAAGGTGCCAAAAACATGCATTTGAGAAAAGATAGTCTTTTTAGCAAATGGTACTGGGAAAACTGGATATACACATGTAGAAAACTGAAACTAGATCCCTACTTCTCATCCTCTACAATATCAACTTAATATGGATCAAAGACCTTAATGTCAGACCTAAAACTCTGAAACTACAAGAAGAAACAGTTGAAGATAGGCATAGATAACAACTTTCTGAATAGGACTCCAACTGCTCAGGAAATAATAGCAAGAATTGACAAATGGTATTGCGTCAAATTAAAAAGCTTCTGCATAGCAAAGAAACAATTACTGGAATAAAGAGGCAGTTTACAGAATGGAAGAAAATCTTTGCCAACCATTTGTATGATAGGGGATTAATATCCAGACTATATAAAAAAGTTAAGAACAAATAATCCAATTGATAAATGGGAAAGTAGATTGAATAGACAGTTGTCAAAAAAAGTACAAATAGCCAACAAAAACATGAAAAAATGTTAACCATAAAGGAAATATAAATCAAAGCTGCACTGAGATGCCATCTCACCCCAGTCAGAATGGTAAAGAAGACAACAACAAATGTTGGTGAAGATGGCGGGGTGGGTGGGGGATAGCAAACCTTATACATCGTTGGTGGGAATGGGAATGAAAATTAGTCCACTCACTGTGGAAATCAGTATGGAGGTTCCTCAAAACACTAAAAATAGAACTGCCACATGATCCAGTTATCGCACTCCTGGGCATACACCTGAAGGAACCTAAGTCAGCATAAAATAGAAATACTTGCACACCTATGTTCACAGTAGCACTATCCTCAGTAACCAAGTTATGAGATCAAACTAGGTGCCTATCAACCAATGAATGAATAAAGAAAATATGGTATACATTTACACAGAGAGTTTTATTCAACTGTAAAGAAGAATGATATTATACAATTTGCAAAAAAATGTATGGAACTGGTTATCATAATATTAAATGAAATAAGCCAGACCCAAAAAGACAAATATTACATGTTTTTTCTCATATGTGAAATCTAGATTGGAAAAAAAAGATACAAACATAGAATGGAGACTATTTGGGAAGAAGGGACCAGCAGGAAGGTAGAGGGACAAGAATGGATAATAGGGGAATGAATATAAACTAAGTATATTATATATGCATGAAAATGTCATAATGAAATACATTATTGTGTAAAATTTATATATACTAAAAACAAAGAAAAAGGAAAATGAAAAACACAAAAATTCATCTAAGTCCAAGGGGAAAAAATTGCTGGGCTATGATGTTGGGAAGGTGTGAAATCACCTGAGGAGTCCCAAGAATTAGGCGTGAACACATGGCCAAATATTTGGTACTTTCTAGGTGTGCCTAAATTTTAAAAAAGACAACTCAGCTAATATGCCAAATTACTGCTACCTAAATACCAAATTTCCTAAATTATCTCATCACATACCTGCATTTAACTACTCTATTCTCATCCAATGAATGCCTGTGCTGACTTCATCAAAGTTCACTGGATTGAGATAGGACTTTTTATAATGGGAAAGGAAAGGGCACCAAAACTGTCCTCACCCAATTCTCTTATTACAAGGCTCAGAATCCAGACCTTTCTAGTCAACAAAAAGGGGCCGAGTAAAATAAGATACCCTACAGTAAAGGTATAAAGATAACATAAAATATTATGCCAGCAAATCTCAATCTTTTACTCTGAGATTGACAGGTTTTTCAAGAATAAGTTTACACCTTTGCTTTACAGTCTTTTTATTCTTTACCATGTAGTATGGAGAAAGGACATTAAGTGGACATAAGGATGAAAGAGAAAAGGACAAATCAAAGTAATTAAATTGATGTAGTCCCTACAATGTTACCCTCACCATCTATTTAACAGAAAAACTAAGTCTCCCCTTAAACTGCCACAGAAACAGCCCATTATTCACTTTTCGCAATCAGTTGTGCATTTAGCTAAACCTTATTGGGGGGGGCGTAATTTAGTCACTTTTACTAAAATTCAAAACGCACGTGACCTTTGGACAGAGCAATTCCACTTTTAGGATTGTCCTGAACAAAGTCCTACAAGTACTCCAAGTTACATGAAAAAAATATCTATGGCAGCAGTTTGTGACAGCAATACACTGAACCAAACAAAATCTCCCCAGTATAAGAAGGGACTAACATGGGAATGTATTCATACAAAGAAAAGTTACCTGGCTTTTAAAAATGAATGAGAGAAGATGATGACAGAAGCACTGGCCTTCTCTCCTGGTTTCTTCACAAAAGGGATTCGGCAAAAGGAGGCTAAACCCAGACACACCATCCCAGGGAAAGTGCTAAAACCTCTATTGCCCACAACCATGCACTGTCTAGAGATGCAGGAGGCTGCCATAAAAGCCTCTGGGGAATACTCTTTCACTCCTAAAAAGCTGCCTCTCCCATCACCAGGGACAGGTCAGGTTTCCAGAGAAGCCACCTACAAACACTTCATACCCACAGTGACCTGGCAGGCACTTAAACTTACCTCCCTGTTCATTCACCCGGAATGGCCAGCACCACCATAATACCGCATGTCTATTTTGCCATCTTCCCTCCCGCACATAGCACTCTATGCCCCTCCACAACCTATAAAAGACTGGAGTGCCCCAGAACTCAGTCCCTGAGGGCCTCTTTACCATCTATTTACATTCACTTGCATCTTTAAGTACCATCTATGCCTGGTGACTCCCAAATGTCTAGCTCTAGGTGACACCTCTCCCTTGAGTTCCAACATCATTTCTAACACCATTTGAACTTGGATGTCTAATAAGTACATCATACCTAACATGTTCAAAACAGAATTCTTAATCCCTACTCCCTTACAACTGGTTCAGCCTTGTCTTCCCCATGACCTATCATCCTCTCAGCTATTCAGGTCCAAAGCCAATCTTCCAGATTCTTCTTTTTCCTTTACTATCAGCCAAAACCATGCTCCCTAACTTACTTATCTATCAATAAGTTCTGCTAGACAAACTTCAAAAATACATCGCCAGATGATCTGCTTTTCTCTAACACCTGATCCACATCACTGCCATCTCTCTCCTGTGATAGCCCCCTGACTGGATTGTCACTTCCACTGTTGCCTACCTTGAACTGAGTTTCTCCACGGTGCAGCATGACTGATCTTTCAGCATGTAATGACATCATGCTGCAACTCTGCTTGAAGCAGCCTCCCACTGTGATTATACTTTATGATATTAGATATGGTATTTCTAATTTAATAAAAATTTGGATTTAAGATTTCAGATTGTCTCAATTAACTATGGACTCTTGATCTAGGGAAGAATAAATAACTATTGTCTAATCTTGGAAACTAATAGAAAACTATAGACTTGAATATACCTCTTAAATTTTTGAGATTAAAAAAAGTTTAAATATAGAAAATTAAAACATAAAAGTACAAAGACAATTTTTAAAAATAATCTCAATGGAGAAAAAGTCTTTCTACTGTCACACAAATACCACAAGCCATTAAAAAAATAGATAAATCTAACAAAATTAGAAGAAGATGTTTTCTTCGTGAAAAGAAAACACAATAAAAAGACCTTAAGATAAGGCCTGAAATTTTGAAACAACTGCAGGAAGTAGTAGGAAACACACTAGATCAGATAGGTACAGGAAATGACTTCCTAAATAGAATTCAAAAGGCTCAGCATCTAAGAGAAAAAAATTAAACAAATGGGACTGCATCAAACTAAAGAGGTTCTGCACAGCAAAGGAAACAGTCACTAGACTCAAGAGACAGCCCAGAGAATGGGAGAAAATCTTTGCCAGCTACTCATCTGATAAGGGACTAATATCCAGAATATACAGGGAACTCAAAAAACTCAGCCCCCAAAGAATCAAGACCCCAATGAAGAAATGGGCACACGAATTAAACAGGGAATTCTCAAAGGAAGAAGTACAAATGGCCAGTAACTACATGAAGAAGTGTTCAACTTCCCTGATGATAAAAAGAGATGCAAATCAAAACAACACTTAGATTTCATCTCACCCTAGTTAGAATGGCCATAATCAAAGGTAACAGCAACAACAAATGCTGGTGATGATGCAGTGAAACAGGAATCTTTATACACTGCTGGTGGGAATGCAAATTAGTACAACCATTATGGAAAGCAGAATGGAGATTTCTCAAAAAACTAAAGATAGAACTGCCATATAATCCAGGGATACTGCTCCTGGGTATCTACCGAAAGGAACTAAGACAGGGTACAGTAGAGATATCTGTACACTGTTGTTCATCACAGCACTATTCACAATAGCCAAGCTTTGGAAACAACCCAGGTGCCCTACAACTGATGAATGGATCAAAAAAAATATGGTATATATACACAATAGAGTATTACTCAGCCATAAGGAATAATGACATGTGGTTTGAAGGTAAATGGATGCAATTGGAGGACATCATGTTAAGTAAAGTAAGCCAGGCTCAGAAACACAAAAGCCTCATGTTTTCTTTCATACATGGAAGATAGATCCAAAAGATAAACATATACAAGAAAACAAGCATGATCATATACAAACCCAGATAGAACATGTTTGTAATAGTGGAACTACTCTATGAAACTCGAGGAAAGAGGGAAAGGAAAAGAGAATGATAGAGCATCAGTAATATCACATAATACAAGATGTGAAATTAGAGGATGTGTATTGAGGGGTAGAAGGTAAAGGTAAGGGAGAGTAATGGAAGGGGTTGAACAGACCAAAGCAAAGTACACCCACAGTGGGCATACATTGAGAAACCCCTTTGAACATCAACTTAAATATTAATAACAAAAAACAGGACTGTAAAATAGGTACAGTATGTGGGGGAGTACTAGTGGGACAGGGGAGGATGAATGAAGGAGATTAAGGTAACAGTACATGGTTGATGGACTTCATACACCTATACAAAAGAAAACTCTTGCAATTGCTTTAAGTGGGGTGGGGAGGGAGCTGAGGGGGAGAGACGATGGGGCAATGTAACTAATGTACAATAAAATCTAATCAGAATTGTCACTATGAATCCCCCTCACATAATGAATATATCCTAACAAGAAATTCATTAGAGGACTGGGAAGTTACCAAGAAAAAAAATAATAATCTCAATGTGGAAAAAGCCTTTCTACTGTCACACAAATACAACAAGCCATTAAAAAATAGATAAATCTAACAAAATTAAAATAAAACATTTTCTTCATGACAAAAGAAAAGCATAATAAAAAGACAGCACACCGGGGGGGGAAAAAAACACTGCAACTAACATAACAGGAAAAGTACTAATTTCCTTCAAATACATTCATTAGAATGGAGAGTTCCCTAATCAAATAGATCTGGCAAATCCAGTACACAAAAATTACCATCTGGAGTTTTACAAATACATTAGTCCACCGAAGGCCCTGAAGTTCTGCAGTAAAGCATTTTCAATCTTAGTAGAATACTAAACCCTATTTCTATAGGCCATATATTAACATCTTGCAGAACATATTTTCTGAACTGTTCACCTAAAAATTTTATTATTATCAGGGCAATTCAACTATGTTATCATTTATTAAGAAGGAAATCTTTATCTCCCCTCCCCCATTCCTGGAATAGTTTCAACAGGTCTCATTTTTTCCATTTACATACATGTGTACAGAATATTTACACCATATTCACCCTCCGACCCCCTTTCCTTATTCCTCTTGGAGGGGGTGAAGTCAACTATGATATATTTAAGACATTCAGTAAATGTCACAATGTACCCCCAGTATAACAATAATAATAACAAAGTATAAAAAACAAAAAAGAAGGAAATCTTACATTCTAATATCTCAAACATGTTTACATCTACTTGTGGGGATTACTTATTTGTTATAAAAGTTTTTAAAACTAGATTTTTTTTTTTTAACTGCTGGTCCAATATCGGTCTTCACCATCATTACCACCAGGTAAGTTCCTATGCCATAATTCAAGGGTCAGAGATGGAGATGGAGACAACAACTGTCTACAAAGTAAGATTCTTAAAGGCTACTTTTCATATCATAATTCAATACACAAAGTTACCTTATTAAATGGTGCCTCTTAAAGTGGACAAAATATATTTAAGCAAATATTGAGGCAAAGAGTAAGCTTCCTGTAGACAGAATCACACATTATTGTAAAATACCTTATTACTACATAAGTGAAGTCAAGGTAAATTACTGTCGGACCCAACATCACCATGTTTCAATTAGACAACTGTAGTTAATATTTTCACAGGTTTTCACGTGTGGACACTTATTATGACGCCCACTTTATAAGTGAGAGAACTAACATCTTGATATGTGCAAGTAGGACTTCAGAGTAGAAATCAAGATCCACTAATTCCTCTACATCATGACTATAAATAAATAGCAAAATCTAAAGCTATAAAAACTTGGAATTACATATTAATTTGCACAAAACAGCATTCTAAAACTTCAAATATACAGCTGGGCACCAGTGGCTCATACCTTTAACCCTAGCTACTTTGGAGGCTGAGGATTGGGATCATGGTTGGAAGCCAGCCCAGAGAAACAGCTGGAGAGACTCCATCTCCAAAGTAACCAGACCAAAATGGACTGAAGGTATGGATCAAGCAGCAGACCACCTGCAAGCATGATGGTTTGAGTTCAAACCCCAGTCCCACAAAAAAAAGTAAAATAAAAATTCAAATATACGTAAAATACCTGAAGATTATGCTCAAAGCAGGTCAAGGTTTGGTTAAATAGACTGAGGAAATGTTCTGTGCTGTTTGATAAATCTTCACTGTTGTTAGTTAAACAATCTGTTAAAAAAAAGTACATTAATATATCACAAGCAACAATCACATGTCATTTATCTCTCAAACTATCACCTGTTTTGCATTACACTAATTCTTTATTTCAATAAGCATGAAGTATTCCAATACAAGAATTTTCCAAATACATGAAGCTTACCCCTTTTAATTTCCAAAGGTTCTTTTTAAAAAAAAGTCTTTTTAAAAAAAAAATCATTATAACCATTTTCATGAAAAAGTTAAAATAACTGCATACTCTTTATTTAAAAAATGCAGTACCAAATAAACCTTAAATTGACCTTTCCTTTAATGGTGAAAGGTCATAATCATGAAAATCAGCTATAATGTTGTCTTGATAGTGCTATTTAGAGCTGGGTGCTATTTAGAGTGGTTCACACTTTTAAACCTAGCTATTTGGGAGGCTGAGATCTGGAGGATCCCCGTTCATGGCCAGCCCCGACAAATAGTTCAAGTGAACCCATCTCCAAAATAACCAGAGCAAAATGGACTGGAGGTATGGCTCAAGCCACAGAGTACCTGCTTTGCAAGCACAAGCCCTGAGTTCAAACTCTAGTCCATTAAAAAAAAAAAGTGCTATTTAGGCATAAAACTTTTACCCTGAATTAATTTTGCCTAAATTCTTATGTCTTTTTATTTTTGTGTCAAATTAGTAGTTCTGTGTCTCTTCTATCTTCACTAAGAGGGTCACTGGTGCCTAATTGGGTAGCCTTTTAAATTTGTTCTAATCTATCACGAGTTCTGAGCCCAGAGAAACAAACTGGTGAGAATTTTGCCTAAAATACTGACAAAGAGACTTCAAGTAAAGTCTGGAAATAAACAGAACTGTTTTATATGTTTTTGAAAATCTTTACATAAATGGTATTCCTCTGCAACTTGCTAGTCTTGCTTAGCATTAGCATAAGTTCATTCATTCTTTTTGTGACTACAACACAATTTGTGTCCTTTCTCCCCTCTTTGCTGAACCTATTCTTCATCCTCCCTTTTTGTTTTCCCCTCCCTGGCTCAATCACCTGACTTCATATTCCAGAACTGGTGGTCAGACATTTTCATCTCACCCCCTCCAATCCCCACCCTCTTTACCTTCCAAATATCTATAAACATTTCTGTCTGCTTTCTCTACTCCCAATTCTGCTTACAGAACACTATTGAAGAAAATTCTAAAATTACAACTAAGGGACTCCATTCAAATTCACATTTTCTGGTCTCAGAGCCACAAAACAATCCTTGTAGATGCCCCCTACTCATTGCTCCACAAGGGATGGTCTTTTCTACTTTCTAGTCCCAGCCTACTCCTGCCCCTTTAATTTTAACATATAGCTTTCTACTGCATCCTTCTTACTTAGAAAGCCAGGGTCATCTCATAGGATCTCTCTCAACTGGGAGTGGAGACCCAGAAGGAAGCTATTGCCATAATCCAGGAAAAAGTGGCAATGCAAAGAGAATTTGATGGGTGAGAATGGCTAGGTAGATACTAGGACATGTCACTGAATCATATCCCATGTACTATGAGAAACAACAACACTACAATGAAGCTGACATTTGCTGGATACTTGTTATGTTCCCAAGCACTAGGTTTATACTTTAAACACATTTATTCATTTAATTCTGGTAAGGATCTATGAGGCAGGATCTATCATATCTTCATTTAAAAAATAGAGGCTTAGAGAAATTACAGAGGCTGCCCAAGAATACAAAACTGAAAAGCAAAAAGTAGAATTTGTACTCAGTCTGATTCTCGAGCCAGTACTCTTAAACATTACAAAATAAATAACACATTCACACCTGCATGCTAAATTTCTTTTAAAAAATCAACAAATACATACCATAGCTCCTCCCTCCAGCACTCAAACATACAGGCCATCACTGCCAACTGATCAGTGATGAACCCTAAACCTGGTTAATGGGGCAAGGGGCAACTAGCACTTTAAGGCTCTGTTTCCCAACTGGTTGAATCTTCCTATTCTTCGTGATTCTTTTGCCGCATTTTGGGTAGTGTCCTAATCTTTGACATTATATCACCAAACTGAGGACCATCTGGAACATCTCAACTACTAGTAACATTCTCGTGCCATGACCTAGATCAGCCAAAGAGGCTAACGAACACCTTTTGACTTTGGATGTGGAGGCTGCTTCATTTCATGACAACTATACTCCTGCTGTTCCAACCACAGCAAGGCCACATTCTCAGCCATCTCTGCCTGAGCCTAATTAACTTTCCTGTGTTCTGACAGAGGGCAGGACTCTAATACCTGAGTATGTCCATGGTTCTTCTTGCTTCCTGTCAGCAAGAAGTAGCCAGATCGATCTCACCATTATCTGCAGCTAATGTCCTAATCTTAGATGTTTTACTCAAGAACTGAGGAACAAGTCATTCGTTCTCGATTTAGAGATGACCACTTTTGGTCTACTGAAAGTATATTCCTTTCCTAATAAACTTCACTATCACTTCCACTTTTTTTTTTTTGGCAGCACTTGGGTGAACTCAGGGCCTCACATGTGCAAGGCAGGAGCTCTTACCGCTTGAGCCACTCCACCAGCCCTTTTTTATGATGGACTTTTTAGGAGATAGGGTCTTGAGAACTATTTGCCTGGGGCTGGCTTTGAACCGTGATCATCCTGATCTCTTCCTCCTAAGTAACTAGGATTACAGGCATGTGTAATGAGCTGGTTGCTCTCTTCCATTACTAAAAAAAAAAAAAATGAAGGCTGTCTGGAACAGCCCAGCCCCACCGGTGTGAGGGATCATATGAGGATTGCTTACATTTGAATTCTGATTTGGATGGAGATCTAGGGAAAGAAGCCACAATGAGTTGCAGTAGCCATGCCAACAGAATCCTGCACAGCCTTCCCTGTCTGCCCCTCCCCTGCTCCATCCACCACTCACAGATCTCAGCATGAATGGACCAAGGATCCACCTAGCAACCGCTTGAGGCTGGCTGGTTCTCATTCTGATGAGTCATTCATCCCCCAGCCTGGATCCTGTCTGTAAAACGAGGAGACAGAGTTCCTGCTCTCATATTCTCACATCTCCGGGAATTATGGGAAAATGGAATTGGATAGTGAATGTGGAACCCACTGAGCCCCACCAACAAATACAGAGGGTCACTGCTCCCAGTACATGTGGAGGGAATATAGGCTCCACATCAGACGGAGCACTGCAGGAAGCCCACTTTCTCCTCATGTCCTCCACCAGCTGTATTCAAGAACTCTCTGGTTTATATGCTGCATACTAACATGTCCTTGAAGGAGAACATATGAAATATAACCGTGCTTTCATTTAAAATGATTTTTTTTAGTCAAAGTACAGTCTCTGGTCCATCCAGCCTGGTCCCCACAGCAACTTCTGGGGGAAGTTTAGCTGTTTCTTTTGTTATCTGCTGATGTCTAAGTAAATACCACTATTCTTTATTTTACATCTTAAATACATACTCATTGACTTTCTGCTACACTAGAAAAAGACTTTCACCACTCCTCTAACTACATTCCTCTCACTCTCCCAACACATATCATTATTTTGTCTATAGCTGCCATTTTTAGAAATCTGCTCATGCCTCTTCTTGTTTGTCCCCTATCATCTTCCAACATTGCTCATCTAGTGCTTCCCTCTTGTTCCCTCCTTCCTTCTCTAAGTTTCTGTGGTATACAGTCAGTCTTTGCATTCATCAGTTCAGCATCTGTACATCCAACCAACTGTGAATAGAAAATATTTAGGAAAAACTTGTGTCTATATTGAGTTTATACAGACTTTTGTCATTATTCCCTAAACAATAGCTGTTCACTATAAAAACTATTTACATAGCACTTACATTGTATTAGATGTTATATATAATCTAGAGAAAAAGTACAGAGAGAATGTGTATAGGTTACATGAAAATACTATGCCATTGTACTTAATGGACTTGAGCATCCTCAGATTTTGGTATCTGTGGAAGGTCCTGGAACCGATGCCCTAAAGATACTGAGGGATGACTGGACACTTTTACTTTTACATCATCTTAACACTTGAGCCACTCCACCAGCCTATACTTTTACATCATCTTGACTGATAGCATTCCCATTTTGTTTTATAACTCTAGTTAAGTCTTCCATGCTTTTAAAAAAGAAGATTACATTGCCAAATTAGAAATAGATACCCCCATGAGTAGATGAGTTACAAAAGGGCACTCCTGCCTACACACACACACACACACACACACACACACACACACACACACACATATCCCTCCTTTGTGCAGGGCCTCTTCCACCCCAGTGAACACAGAGCCCTCTTCCAGGAACAAGTATAGATAGATGCTTTGCTTCTCTGAACTCATGTATTCTATGTTCTCATAGCTTTAATCTCTCATAACAACCAGTCCTGTTTTTAATTTTTTTTTTGGTAGTACTGGAATTTGAACTCAGGGCCCCATGCTTGCTAGGCAGGTGCTCTACCACTTGATCCACTCCTCCAGCCCTTTTCTATGTTGGGTATTTTCAAGATAGGGTCTTGCAAACTATTTGCCTGGGCTGGCCTTGAACCAGTCTTCCTGATCTTTGCCACCTGAGTAGCTAGTATTACAAGGATTATAGGTATGAGCTGCCAGCACCCAGCTAAAGCTTTGTTTTTTGTGGGGGCAGTGGTACTGGGGTTTGAACTGAGGGTGTACACCTTGACCCACTCCACCAGCCCTTCTTTTTTTTTTTTTTTTTTTTGCTGTACTGATGTTGAACTCAGGGCCTACACTTTGAGCCACTCCGCCAGCCCTTTTTTTTTGTGGTGGGTTTTTTCATGAACTATTTGCCAGGGCTGACTTCAAACCACAATCCCCCTGATCTCTGCCTCCTGATATTTTCTTGATTATACCATTTTCATTACTATTTAAATGTTACTCTATCTGCCAGCTTCTACAAGGTTCAAATACTAAATTTTTCTCTTTTTTTGTGGGACCAGGGTTTGAACTCAGGCTTAGCACTTGCAAAGCAGATGCTCTACCCCTTGAACCATTACC